GTCAGTGTGTGTGTGTGTGTGTGTGCGCGCGTGTGTGTGTGTGTGTGTATGTGTGTGTGTATGAGTGTGCACGCGCGCGCGCGCTCCTGTGTTTGGGGAAATAGAAAGTTTTGCCTGTTGGGGGAGCAATACGGGAAAAGTGAGCTAAGGAGAGGAACGACGCAGAGAGGGCGAGCCTGCCGGGTCGCGGCGGCGGGCGGGGGAGCCGAGCAGGGGACCCGCGCGGGACCCCGGGGAGTGGCGGCGTTGCGGACGGCGGTGCGGACGCCTCGGGCCGTGGACACCTCGTCTCTGGTCTCCACCGGGAGATCAGCGGACCGCGCGTTTCCCCGGGGCTCCACCGCCAACACGGTCTCGTAGAGCCGGGGGGTGGGGGAGTGGTGGGGGTCGCACTGCGGGAGGAGAGTCGGGACCCTCCCCCAGTCCCACCCCACTCGGGCCGAGGCGGGCGAGAGCAGCGGGCGGAGTATTGGCCCGTCTGTCTGTCATTCTGTCCGGAGAGTCCCTGCTCCACCGCGGTGGGGGAGGGGAGAAGGGAGGGGCGTGCAAAGCTTGGTGCGAGTTTTTTAAACATTCATTCTCTCTTCCCTTGCTTTGGGGGCATTTCCCCCCTTTGGGATCTCTCCTGGACTTTTCGGGCCGCGAGAACTTGTTGACAACTGAAAGCTCAGTAGAGCCCCGGCTCTATTTGTGTTTGTTTATATTTTACAAAGTGACTTCATATTTACTCCGGGCCTTGTCTGTGCCCTTTTGGGGGACATGGCTCTGATCAGCGCGCTGACAGCGGCCGTCGAGCTGCGGCAAAACGGGGCGCGCCCTCCGAGGGGCGAATGCCTGTGTCCGCGCTAATTTCCTCCGTAACCTTTAAACTCTCGCTGGAAGCCGCGGCGGCGGCTGATCACGTGAGGCGAGCCTTGGGCTGCTAGGGAAGAATTTCCTCCGCGGGGAGCCGGGGACCGGGTAGGCGGCCCGGCGAGGGACGGCCCCGCGCCGGGGGACGCGAACCTGGGGGGGCGGGGCGAGAGCGCAGAGGCCCTGGGCGCGGCCCCGGCTGCTACAGCCCAAGGACTAGGCTGGGAAGAGGTCATCTCCGCTACCTGCGAGCAGGAGGTTGTGCACACGGAAAAAGAGAACCTCGGCGCTCCCCCCACCTGGTGCCGATCCAAGTCAGGGACTTTGTAGGCATCGCGATAAACTGAGTTTTTATCTGGCGGATTTGGTTAGTGTAGACCAAAATTTTAAACCCACCCCTCGATTGCATTTTCTCAGGAGAAAAAGGTTATCATGGTTTGTAGCTTAAAGGCTTAAAAAGGATTAAAGGTGAGGAAGGAGGCAGTCCCCTGAAACAACTGGATACCAAGGGCAGCAACACAGGACGCAAGAATGATCAGAAAGTCCCAAGGTGATCTCCTAAGGCCTGAAATCGCTGCTCTGCCTGATCTTACAATTTCTCCCAGCACGCCCTGATGAATAGGGCAGCTGGGTAGAGAGTGCTAAAATGCAGTCTTAGGGACTATTGAGATCTTGAGCATGTAAAAAGTCAGGATATAAAAGTTATGCCTTACATGGCCACTCCCACCAGCTGGAGGTGTATTTTAAAATCTGTCAGTTGGACAAAGCGTGAGTGGGATGTCTCATTGCTGTTTAACTTTTATATGTCTTTGTTCATCAGAACTTTTTCCTCCTTGCTCTTTCCTTCCACCATGTTATTGTTATTAAACTTGTTTCCCCCTTCAGGGGGCATGTGATTGAAGGCAATGGCAAACAGGGCTCCATCATTGGACAATGCATCTGGGAAGCAGAACCAGCACTAGAGCTGAGATACTTGACAGGCAAAATTTAAGGGGTACCAATAATAATCAGCTAAGTAATCAGTAATATTTGAATGCAATATTTTTGAAAATCAAAATTAATGTAAAAATGAATGGGCATAATATCCAACTTTTAAGTAAATTTAAATGTTGCATTAAAATATTACTTATGTTACTGAGTTTATTGTCACGCTTGAACTTCTGTACCTGAGGTGAGTGCTCCATTTGCCTCGCCCTCCCCCACATCCCTCTTGGGAAGTCTAGAAAGGCAAGGATTTCATGAGTTTAGGGATCCATGAGGGTTTCATACCTTCTCTGTACTTTCTCTGGGTGAGATTACCATGCAAACAGAAAAGTACGCAGGATTGAAAAACACTGGCCAAAATACTTCCTTTTCAATGGGTTAAATAGGAAATAAGTTTAGAATTAAGGGCATGATGAACTTGAACTTTTTGCATGATATCCTATTCCACCTGTCCCCAGACAAGACCTCCCAAGTATATATAAATAAATAGGGTCTGTTGACATCTCAGTGCATAGGCGTTCTTAAAAGTCAGTAACCTACAAACTTCCAACACCAAAATTCCTTGTGACCTGGGTACGGTTGCAGAAGGACAGCATCTGTTTGTTACGCCATGTAAATAATCAGGCTGCAATTCTCAAATGCGACCAATACCAGTGTGACCTCACCTTCCTTTTTTGTGGGTTTTAACCCTTCACTTAAGTTTTTATTTAAATTCCAATTAGTTAACACAGAGCATAATATTAGTTTCAGGTGTACAACATAGTGATTCAACACTTCCATACAACACCAGGTGCTCATCACAACAAGTGCACGCCTCTTAATTACAAGTCTTTCTGTCTGGGGTGGAGTCACTCAAAGACTTGGCCAAATACACTGCCTGTTTTGTATTGAATGAATACTTAAATGGAAAGCGAATGCCAGTATTCTACATTCAAACATCGCTAATTTCCTTCTCTTCTTACATCCTTATTTCTAAATAAACCTCTCACTTGCTTAACTCTCGAACCCGGCGGCATACAAATCTGTATTCTCCGGGATCACCACTGCAATGCCGGATGTGAGGTTGCTGAGGGAAATTTACCTTAAATTTACCTGAAGGGGACTGCTGGGGAGAGAGTGGGGTATCCAAAATAACCCTTTGCTCCAGATTCCTGTGAAAAGAAAAACAAGTCCTTGCAGGTGGGAAACTTGAGAATGTAAAATTTCAATCAATAACTATTATCTACTTTCACCTTCTCTTGGCCCCTGTGTAGTCCTGAAAGATAGGACAGAGATGGCAGTGGTGCTAAATTAGATGCCCTGTCCATTCCAACTATGGCCTAGTAATTTTGTGACCTTTGGGAGAGGGAAAGGAAGAAAAATGATTTCAGAACTTAACAAAGATGGTCAAGACGGTACCCCCTCCTTCAAAAATTAAGCTCACGGGGAAAAGGACCGATTGAGCAAGAGTCCCCAGGGCCACATGATAAATGCTGCAATAAGATTAGGGGTGCTCCCAGAGGCAGGTTCACCCCTTGCCTGGGAAGGCATCAACCAGCAGGTCTAGACATTCCAGTAGGCAAAGAGAAGAGGGAAGGGCACTGGAGGCATTGGGAACAGAGTGTGCAGAGCATGAGTAGTAAGAGTATGGCTGTGTGGGATGAGAAAGCAACCAGGCAGTATGGCAGACAGTAAGAGGAGGAAAGGTAGGTTGGTTGGGATAATTAAGACTCTGTTGAGCCTGTAAACAAGTTTGAAGTTTTTCCTTGAGAGACACTGGTCATTCTAAAGTGGGGAACAGCATAACCAGAGTTAATGCCTTAAAAAAAAAGCCATTTTGTAGGGATGGATATTTTCCTCTTCAGCAATCTCCCCTCCGCCCCAGAAGACTCTCCC